TGATACCCATATTAACGGCCTTTTTAAGAAAAAATTAGTCTACTATGTCGTGATGACGTCCACCTTAACTAATTTAGAATTAACACGCTCGCGCGTGCTGACTGGACTGTTAGCAAAAAATTAATCCAAGACTTGTGACGTCCGTCAAATTTAGTTTAGAATAAATACGCTTCGCTTGTTTATGTTCTACTCTCCAAGTCCGTTTATTTGATACCCATATTTTGACCCGTTTTCAATACCGATTTGCGAGCAGAAACTTGCTATGTTTATAGCAAATTTGACGTTGACATCTTGAATATTGCGCCCATGAAAGCCTCAACCATACACACCACACTTCTGAAGCTTGCTTTTAGGTGACAATATGAGTGTAACCTCACCCTACGGAGATGAGTATAACAAGCAAAGGAGAGGAGAATATCCGAATCTCTATTTTATTTTCCATATAATGTATGTAAAAATGACTATTTACCAAATTGAAATCTGAAATATTAAAAATGAAGAACGAAAAGCCAATTTAGAGTAATGCACGCTTCATAAAATACGAACAACCTACAACGACAGTCCTAAACAAACAATATCGTTACAGTTCGTTTGACATTTCATTTAATATTGCAAACGCTTTTCTTTATCAAATCAAAGTTTTAAAAACTTAGTTTTTTCACCAAACTAAAGTTATGAACTTAAAAACTACGTTTTTTTTCTCTTCTATTTTTCTTCTTCCTATGTCTATAGAAGGTAAATTAACTTTTTCGTAAGGCATGGAAGCACGCGTCGCCTGCAAAGCATCTGCGCATATTCTTAGTAGCGCGGATGATGGCTATTTGACTTGCCCAGAGTCCATCCATTTCCTATTTGAACTTATACTCGTAGTTTCGAAAAATTGAAATTTGCTTTTTATTAGGTTCAGTGCGATTCAAAAATTTAGTTATGATTTGTGTTTATCATCAACACGAGTCAAGTTCTTGAAGGTATCAAAGATGTCAGTCTAAGCCGAATATATTTTTTTCCTTATGTGTTGTTCGTGTCAGTTGCTGTCATTGTGCGGGTATGCAGTAAATTTATCATAGAGCCATAAATAACTATCGACCTTTTTCTGTAAGTACAATAACAAATGTGAAGGGAATATAAATGCAATACAAATATTCAAAGAAAATGCATTTGTTCTTATATTTGTTTAGGTTTGTCAATGAAAGTTTCGCTAGTTGGTGTTTGTTAAATTGATTCATTGCATTACGTACACCTGAATAAGCTTTCAGTTTCAATTCCCTTTGTATATATGACACTATATATATATACCGTGGTGTCCTTAGGCACTACATTAAATAGAGTGTAAATAATTATTTCTTTTTACTGATATAAATGCTTGTAATTATATATATATATATATATATATATAGTATATATTGCCCAGTTTAGATGTGTATGTACATGAAATAAGTTCAAGTTAACAGTTGAGTCTTTTTAGTGCGTTTCAATTCAATGCTATTATACTTGATGCTATTAGCGATTAAAATCTAGTGTTATTCGGACGCTTTATAGACTTTGCCATTGTGCCATTCGATGTACTAAGAAACTTGTCTAAACGTTTTTATACCCATCTCCGAAGCAGGAGGAGGAGTATGATCGTTTTGGCAGAAGGAATCTTTAGCGACTAAACCAAGTATATATGTTCTTGATCAGAATCGAATTCTGAATCGATTTAAGCATGTCCGCCTATGTAATGTCTCGTGACCGCAAAAACGAAGCTACCGAGTTCAAATTTGGCAGAAATATTGGAAATTCTTACACGCAGGTTGGTATTGGAAATGGGCCAAATCATTCGAAGGCCACGCCCCCAAAATTGGTTGTTTGTTTATTACTAGTAATCTACAAACATTTGAACATGCATTCTACAGCACGATGCTGTAGTACCTTTATGCAAATAGAAAAAGTCGCCCACGCCTACTCAATTTTATACCGTATTACAGTTTAATATATTTCCCCAATCTTTTATATAATCAACAGAAGGAAGATTTAAAAAAGCCATAAAGTATATAAATTCTTGGCCAGTTTCAAATTCAGAATGCACCTACGCATGCCCAGCCATCTCCGGTAACATTCTCCCGTTTGCAAAAATAAAGACATCGCCTACAAGCTTGCAAAAGAACTTGAAAAGAAACCAAACAAAGAGCAGATCTGCAAAACGTCGACACGCCTATATAACGAAAACGGTGAATACTTTTGTTTTCGGTGTTTTTTGCTTCTTACTCATAAAGTACAGCACATGCCCAATTTCCAATTTCCACTTTCCACTTTTATTCCAAAAATAGAAATGTCAACCGCGCCCATTCAATATTATAGAGTATGTAAGTTTAGTTATATTTCGGCGATAGTTATAAATGATTCGGCCACGACCGAAGTGTATCAATGCTTTATATTGCGTTTTTGTATCCGTTCAGTGAAGCGAAAGATGTAGTTAATTTTTGTCCAGCCGACCTTGGCGATCAGCTCTTCTTAGACGCATAGGTCTTTAAATCACTTAACATAACGGCTAATGTTCCTATTGTTGCTTGTAGTTCACCACCTCTAAAGTTTTTAGTTGTTGCATAAAATCGTCCCTTTATATCAAATGGTTCCAAGGGATAGAATGTGGAATACTTTCAACGTCGATTTTTCTTCATTTAGCGGAGTGATACCAGTTGAATGCACTGGGAATTGGTCAGCTAAATCGATGGCAATTGTTTAAAATGTTTTTGTTTGGTCGTCCCGGCATCCTTCTCTTCGTAAATCTTCATGATATCTGGTAAATATTATAAAACCTATCACTCAAGGCGTTATTTCATTGCCATGTTTTCCGGAACTTTTTACTGAAAAAAACTAAAGGCGTAATAGGTTGTACATCGACCATTTAGAGGATTTTACGAAATGTTTGCATGAAGTTTCGGATTACTGCCGTAAATCATAAATTTTGGGGCCTATTGAGAAATTGTGCTTTTGGCGGGCGACGTTGTTTGGGGTTCCGAGAAATATTTCAAATTAATATCTATACGGCATTATCTCTTGTTTTTCGAAAGCGAATCACGCCTCTTTCGCCAAAGTTCGCCCTGTAGTTATCAAATGAAAATAAATTCATCAATTATCTCCAGTTGTAACAGTGCCGAGATCAAACAGCAACCGGACAATAATATCCACGAATTGAAAAGCGGGCACGGCACATATATATACATTTTATGGAATATCTCGTAAGAATAGTTGTGGGTGTTAAATTTCGTAGAGGAGATCTAGTGTATCTACATATATTCCTTGGTTGTGGTATGTAAAAATTTGGAACTTATAAAACAATTTATTATTGCTCGGCTCGGATTATCATTCCAATCGCCTCAGTAGAGGAAACCTTGTACACAGAATTAATGTCAGCGTATTTGTGTCCTTATATTTTCTCCAAACGAGCACTTTTTCCCTTCATGAATCCAAGAAAAAAAAAAAATAAAAACACTATCTGTGCGTCATCCCTGCTTATAGAATTAACAGCTGGTCTAGGGCAAGTGAAGAAAATCCAGAGGTATATTTGATTTAACGGCTAGGTATGCTTTTTTGAATGTAGCTGCAAACGTATACCAGTCTTCTATTAACTATTTCGCTTCTCAAAACTAATCGTTTTATTTGTATTAACTTTTCTATTATTTATGTCAAAATCTTGCTTGGTTTCAAAATAATGTTACTTTAAATACAAATCCACTTTTATGTAATCATTTTCCATTTTAGCTTAAAAGAGAATAAAATCGAACCACACACACTTGTTAAGACCAAGACCAATTACCAACTTTTGCAGTTATGTCGTTGATTTTATTTATTTTCATAATTCTTTTCTTTTTTTTTTCTTTTTTTTTTTCTTTTTTGTTTGTTTTGGTATATTTTCTTCCAATTTGCTGGTGTTTGTGTTCACGGACCCATCAAATAAAGTTAAAATACTTCCTTTCGCTCTCATATTTCTCGTCCACTTGACTGCTGCTCGTTCACAGTAACCATGAAAAGGTGCATAAAAAATTTACCGCAAATCTATGTAAACTAATAGCAGAAATATTAAAACCATCATCGTTCATACAAACATTCTAAACACTTTTATAAAAACTTGCACAATACAATCGTACATACATTTAAGTAAACGATGTTTATATGTATGTATGTGTGGACGACGTGATGTTTTGCTTTGCTATGCAATCACTTGTATTGACTGGTTTTTCTTTTCATACATATAAATATATTTTTATATATAAAAAAAATATTTTATATATATACATATATATATACATATGCTTGAATTAATTTCTTTAGATAGAACTTTGAAAGAATATTCATTTAGATCAGAACAGTAGGTAACTGATGGGGGGCGGGTGGTGCAGAATGTTATCTCTATTGCTTTGAGCAAAGACGATTGATCTTTTAGCGCAGTTTCGGAACGGATCTATTTCCCGAAAACATGGAACACTAATTAGACATAGATTAGATCGTAGAAATAACAACATAACATAAGAGATAATCAATGAGAAGTAAAACCTTTTGGACCTTTTGTCATGAAAAACGGAGCGATTAATTATAAATGATTCTCCTAAACTTCTTACACCTCATATCATTCGCACTGGCTTTCGTGAAATTCTTGTTGTTCTGCAGTCAGCTGCTTTTTGATTGATAACGACCGGGCCGGACCTTATGTATCATATTCTGAACAAATTTTTTTTGCGCTTATAACTTTCGTAAGACGTCTGCTTTCCGACATCGCTCAAAAGCTTTCTCTAAGTAAGGTTTTATGCTTTTTTTTTTTTGAACCTGGCTTGCTTTTAAGACTCTTTTGGGCCGCTAATACAAGATCTTTACAAAATATTGTTTGAATTCTTGGTCGTGCCTGAATGAATTTTCCTTAATTTCACAAGTATTTTCTTGGAGCCTAAATTCGAGTTAGCTTAAGAGTAGTGTGTGTTCTACACCCGATGGTTTTCATCGACAAGTTCATATAGATTTGCAAAATTCTGCTTTGATTAATACAATTTTGGAGAGGTGATGAGAAGTAAGTTAACGGATAAATTTTGAATTATAACTGAGAGCCTTGTGAACAATAAATGATAGAATATAAACTAAAGAAATAAATCTATCATGTTATAGTGAAAGTCAGTTTGCAGGGAGGTACACTTCACATTACGGCTAATGATGAGTAGTCAAGCTCTACTTTATATAAACATTTCATTATTATTTTTCTTTCAATCTAGAAAAAAATGCGTTTCAATAAACAAATTAATTCAAGTATTCAATGTGTGTTTGTCGTTTTAGGAGTTGGCAAAGTACTTGGCAACCGTTATAAATTAGGCGAAAAAGTGGCAGTTACCAATGGTGATAAGGCAAGCGGCAATTTTATAAAATATGATGTCGAAGTTCGTGATGCTGATGTGGTGAGTTTGATACTTTTCAAATAATATGTGTGTGTATATGCACATATGATGTATTGCATGCATTTTTTATGAGTAGAAAAGTATACTATAAAATATATCCCCTATATATATGTATATGAATATGGACAACAATTTTTTTTATTACCAGCAGCGTCGTGCTTACACTTTATTTGATGTTTTCGATTCAAATTTGCTCTGTCGTCATTGTTGTTTTTTAGTTGTTCAGGGTGATATTTATAGGTTGTTATTAAATTTACTGCCAAAAACATAAAAATGATGTTTTTAGGGAATTTAGTTTTCCGCTTTTCAATAGAACATAATAATAGCTGCTATAAACAAAACATAGGAATGTTATGATGTTGAATGGCTTGTAACATATATTAGAAAAAGAATTATTTTGCTTGAACTTTCACAAAAATTAATTAGAATGATGTTTTCTTATGGCAAACATTTTCATCTTAATTTGATTTTCTTCTTCTATTCATGTGAATGTGATGTGCGAGAACGAAAGTTTCAGGACTTGTTTTGTGTCCTACACGTACCTATAAGTTAGTGCTATGTATTTAAAAGTAGGATAAATGTATTTTACTTTCAGTTCATTTTCTCATTTTTATAGCAAGCAGTTTTTTTTTCTTGTGAGTATCACAGGGATATTGTAATAAGCAAAAATGGAGTGGAATGGGCACGAACACCCTGGAATAACTTAGTTCACATACTTCGAATGTGATCAACCAAGCGATTGGCAATGACAATTGGATTTTGAAGAGAGGCATAGTGGCAAAGAAGACTTCACATCCTGTTCCTTCTGTATGAAACCTCCGAGTAGGTAACACACTACCGTTCGGTATAAGATCCACTAGGGTTGCTTAGGTTGTGGGTATCAAAATTAGAGATATTTTGATAGAAGACATTTCGTTCCGTCCGATGATCACTGCTGATAGGTCGTTTAAGTTAAGTAGAGGCATTTTAATTTTTTAGATCCCTAGATTCTTTCATGATATAAGTTAATTAATAAAAGTAAATTGAATTATAACATTAAGAGATATTAGAATTTTTATTGAAAGGAGAAATATAAATCAACAAGATAAGGACGCCTGGAATAGCCGCTGAAGCTTATTTTATTAAAGGAGCAAAATTTTCCAACGATGAAAAAATTCCGCTCTACGCAGTCAGAGAGATTATTATAAAAAGTCATTTTCTTAAAGCTCTGTCCACATATCATTCTTTCCGAACATTATCATGCTTACAGGTATGGGTAACATTCCCTTAATGGAAAAAAGGTCTCTAGTAGGTTTATAGGTTTAAGTTCACTTATCTTAGCTTTTGCTTGAATTTCTCGTAGGTGTCCATGCCCTTTAATGTACTCAAACGTTTGCTCAAGTACAATTAATGATCTTTCTTATTTCTTTTTCTTCTTGTTCTTCTTCTTATTACTATTATTATTATTAATTATATTCTAGATACAATTTACGAAATCGTTCGATATATTTAGTGGTTCAACATATCGAGGAGAATTTGTGATACGTAATCATTTACAAGTTGACAAATTCACAAATTTGGTAAGTAAACGCGTGCGTGTATAAATGCTTGAGCCAATATCTAATGTACTCTGTGATTTGTTACAAAGGTGGCGAAAAACGTTACAAGGTGTTCGAGTATGTTGGATAAAATGCCTAATAAATTATTTAAATGTCAACTTAGAAGCGAGAATTCCTTAGGAAAACAATTATTGCAACATTATCAAGTGGCGGGCATATTCGACCATGAAATTGGTCGTTATGCTTGTGATATTAATCTGAAAACTTCATTCGACGATGTGCTTAATCTAATCAAGAACAATGACGTACACTTTGATTTAGAGGTAAAATAAAGAAAATTCGCACTTTTTGTGATAAGCTTATTAGTATTTTTCTTTTTCTTTTTCTTTTTTTTTCATTTTTCTTTTACTCTTCTACTTTTACTATCTATAGGTTGTAATGTTTAGCGGTTTAATGGACAGCATATCATTGAAGCTTGTGCCAGGCATTAAAATTATACCAGATATTTTGTTAGCCGACAATGCCAAAGAACAAGATTTAACCATTACTGGCTTAGATAAGGTTCTACAAAAACTTGAGGTAAGTTTCTATTGTTTACTAAATAATATCAAATAAGTTTAATGGCTGTCCGTACGTATGTATATGTACAGCTTTATTTTCACTTCGAGTTAATCAAAGTTCTTAAAGTTCTTATCGTAAACAGTTTTATTATTAAAAATGTTTTCCTATCGCATATGTATATAAATTTATTTATTTTTTTTTATTTTTTGATTTTACGTTTCACTTTTTTATTTTTTTTTTATTTTTTTATTGACTTGCGGCTGGCATATTAAAAAGAAGAAAAAGTTTCAATTATATTTTTCGAATATTACAAACAAAGTATTTCAACAACTCGATGCCATAAAAATTTACTCGGTATTAACTACACTATGCTATATAGAATGGTGGTCTCTTCATTCATCATAAACTTTTCATTTTTCTAATATTTATTTTATGATTCAACTAAAAGAGCAAAGTTAAAACTTTGAAATAACTTATAACTTGAAAATCCTTTTTAAAAGATGCTTTCCTCTTTCAACCAAAACCAAGAAGGAAACGGTTGAGCACATGCACTAAAAGGAAACGAAAAATTGTCGGGTAGTTATAGTGCGGAAAGAGACGCCCCTTGCATTGCAAACTTTGAAAATTTGTGAAAAACTCTATTATTTTTTTTTGTTTTTTTGTTTTTTTTTTTTGTTTTCGCAGATAAATGCCGAAGTTGACCAAATGTTCACATTTGCATTACACTTGATACCATCCAGCCAATCATTCATTCGGTCAATTCGTTTTCATTCAGTTACATGGCCAGTAAACCGACCACAAATTTTCTTTCCATAATGTTAGCTATCAGCAAAAATAACTGTAACGAAACGAAACGAAACGAAGCGACGACAACGGGCAGAGGCATAAGAAGGTTGCATTTTTGCCTAGCAAATGCAAAGAGGTAGAAACTATGATCTTGCATTGTTGTCATAGAATGCTTGTAACTTGACTTTTCAACGGCTAGCTAAGAAGGCCGAAAAAGTGGAAGGAGAATGAAGAAAGTTTCTTCATTTTCTTTAATCGAATGACTGACTGATTGCAGTCAAGCTAGTTGCAAAGATATCGAAAGTTTTTTTTTTTTTGTTTTTTGCATTTTTCTATGAAACTTTATTACATTTACTTCTCCATCTTCTCTAGAGGACTGATATAAATTTATGTCACGAAACAATTATTTTCAAGAAAAAGATTCGATTATAAATTTGATGAGATCTCTTTTATTTTTCATGTTCTTAATTATCAGTTTTTTTCTCATGTCCCCTTATCCCAGTTACGTCTTCTGCCTTGAACAATAATTGATGCACATAAGTTTCTCCATTTACAATCAGTTGAAAACATATTCATGAACTGCTTTGTTTGCTGGAATTGCAAATTTTTGCTCCGATTACGTAATCGCAAGTGATACATTTATACATATCAATACGAATTCCGTCATAGTCCATGGAAGGGTTTCTATGCTTGAGCAAGCAAATCGCTTACAAATCGATCATTTTCTTCTATTTCGTTCTTGAACTGTTAAGTCACCAGAGAACAACAATTATAATGCATAAGCACTTTCCATTATTGTAGACTACTATGTCAGGGATTTGTTTTAATTTTTCCTTTTTCTTAGTCATGTGCTGCGATTTTCAGACATAGATATATATACATATATATACACACACACACACACACACACATAAACTGAATGAATTCAATATAAACATAAAGTACAACTACTTTGAATTGAATGGTTATTTTTGCGCTTTATGTCCGGTTTCCATATACGAGCGGAAAGAACATAACCACTTGTGGTTGTTGGTTGGAGACAGTTGATGGGAATTGCTGATGGCATGCTTACTCAATAACAACTCGATAGTTATTCTTTTTATTACCATTACCGGATGGTAAGATGTACTAAATTTGCCTTTTCGTTTGTAACAATCAGAGTAAAGCAGAGTAAAGTAGGTTTTACACTCATTCTAAATGCAAATAAATCTTTGCTTATTTTTTTTATTTTTAAAGAAAGCACTTGGGTAATTTAAAGTAACCTTTTATTAAGTATCCATTATTCTGATCTTTCTTATAATTAGTGAATGCCCTTCCAGTAATACGCATTCATCGAGCCATCTTCCGATTGGTCCGCAATAGTCGAATGGTGGTTGCAAAAGTACATTGTGGCAAACTAATAGCATCCTGGTAGAGCTAAGTTTGCTCTCAGCAAAAGTGTTTTTAACTTTTCCTTAATCGCAGTACGATATGTTGGTAGCTTTTTGGTCAACGCATCGTTGATTGCCGTCGGTAGTGTTCAATATGAAGCCCTTTAATAGGTTTCAGCGCCACATTTTCTGTTCCATCTAAGAACTGGATGCATGGCATTTTGCTCGAAGCGATTTGGTTATGGTCCCGATAGTGATGGTTGGCCCAGTTGATCGTTTGCGACACTATCACGCAAAGCAATTTGATATCTTTGAAATAAATATCACTTGAGAGAGATTTTCTTTTTGGCTTCCAAGCAGTCACTTTCTCGACGTTTGGATCTTTACTGATAGCTCTGCTCAGTTGCGTATGTCTTTATCTAATATTGCTTCTAATTCAACATTTTCCAATTTCTTCATCATCTCGGAATCAACATTTTTAAATCTCCAAAGCCAGATTGCACTTGTTTTAATGCCTGGAGCATATTCCTAGCAAATGTCCTCAAAATACAAACTTGTCTTTTTCTTTCCTTTTGATCGAGTAGAGGAAGCAACGCACAAATACTCCTCATTAGGCCATTTCAGTAACAAAAAGACGTCATTTCATTTCAGGTTAAAGTTTCATAGATAGATGATTTTGAAGCTTTATATGGAGGAATGAGAGTCGTAAATATTATTTAAAAGGCTCGAATAGTCATCTCCAGGAAAGGCCAATAAACGCTTATCTGTACGCCTGGTAATGTATTTCTATTTTTGTCAGCGTAAAACTGGGAGGCCGTTTGTCCATTCATCAGTGCAAAAATTGACATAGAAAGCTGAAATTATGTTGTATAATTAATGCTTAACAATGGGTACAATCTGCTGATACTTTTATTTACAAATGATAGCAGACGCCGGACCAAAACTCAATTTAGATATTTACGGTGGCCATCGGGTAGGGCGGACATGGTTCGCTAACAGTCATTACATCAATTTGCAATCAATTGCAATCAATGCCATTGATAAGCAACATATATCCAACTTAAAGAAAGGAAGAAATCGCTCAAAAAGCTACTCATTGGAATCGATACTAATAATTATTCACACATAGATAGGAAATTAGTACAAAGTTCCAATGCTTACAAAGGAAAAAGAGAAAGCAAAAAAACAATTTTTTATAATAAAAGATAAAACTTTCTAACCACAGCATCGTTCCTTGTTTGATGTAAGAGGGCATAAATATTATATGTTTTATATATAAATACACATTATATGAATGCTTCCTTCTCTTTTTGTTATTATACTACTTTTTTATGTAAGTTTAGATGAAATTATTATTTATTTGCATCGTATACTAATAATATACAATACTAAATAAAACTAAAGTATCGTAATCACATCTAAATAGGATGTGGGCGAAATATCGATTGGAAAAACATAAATGAATGAATTCTACCTTAATCTTAAGGAAATTATTTATATATTTTTAAATCATTGTTTTGATCTCAAATCTGGTGCAAATATTTAATTAAGGTCAAGTAATAGGCAAGTGTAAAAGTAATCTCATAGCAACTGGCCAAAGCGTATTCAAGAAAATTTTGCGGTTTTTGTCGTCAGCAAGTACAAAGCAACCATATCGGATAGGCGAGACCATTTATTGGCCCTTTCATCCTTGAAATTTTTGCTGTTTTTTAAACTGAAGTTGGACGTATATTTTGCTACTAATAAAGTTTAGGTTGGACGGGACTAGAAAAATACTTGTTTTCTTCCGACCTTGACTTTTTTAAATTAAGTTAAATATCTTATACCTTAGAGTATAAATGCGATATGCTATGACAGGTGTAAAAAATCTTCTATTATTGATTTCCAGAAAGTCGAGGAGTAGCACGAAGAGCACTTTTTCGTCTCTCTTGTATAATAACTTTCCATTTCGTTATATCTATCGTTGGGTGTTAAACTTACGTCAATCATATAACACAATAGCGAGTAATTCCCGGTGCTGACACATACACATTGTCAATGACAAAAAATTGTTTTATTAATTTTAGGAAGTGTGTTATCCCTGAAATGATGGCTGGCAAAAGCTCTCGTTATTCCGGTCAGTTATCGGTTACAGTAAGCAACTTTATTACTTTGAAATATTACTTTTTGTTGGAGATAAGTAGGTTACATGCTCAGTGCTAACTTGAAAATTATTATTATCGTAGTTCTTGTTTGTCGGAAACAGCAATTCGTCGGATCTTTGCTAATTTCAAAGGACATTCTGAAAGCAATCAACGCCCAAGGTAGAAGCAAATTTAAGAACATCTTCAAAATGAATCTTCACGAACGAAAAATAAAGTTGCACGACGTAGCTGACATCCCAAGGCGGTGAATTCCTTATTTTTCATGAAAATGTGAGCATGGGAAAGCTTCGGATTGCTGCCGCGTCGGTTCTTTATTTCTCTAAATCTACCTTTCAGCGATTTCTGTCTGCTTGCGGATCTCGAAAGGGCACTCCACGGAAATGGGAAATTATTCTGGAAGAAAAACTCAAAATTATAAGGGATTCATTTCACTGGTAATGTCATTCTGGAATCTGCCTGATGTGTATGAATAAGACCGCTTTGGCAAAAAAAAAAAAGAAAAAAGTTTTTCTTTTTATTATCGAGAATTATAACGTGTTCTCAAATAGCATGAAGACAAAAATCGTCCATTAACTTACTAAGCGTTACTTCTGAATATTTTATTAAAAAACAGTAAGATCGAAAAATTAAAATCAAGTGTTGGCAGAAGAAATTTGATTGGCTTTAGCTAAGGGAAAAGCTATTTTTTAAAAGCAACGGTTCAAAAATTATTGCCGCA